GAAATCTGCCAGTAGAAGCGCTGACACCTGATTGACCTTTTCATGCAGCAATCAAGGTTAACTGTTACTTGCAAAATCCTCCCCAGAGCTCAAGTGATAGGTTTCAAGGCCAGCGGTGTGCTCGGGCTCCAGGCTTGCCCGGACAGGATTGCTGTCGCTGTCCGGCTTTGCATCGGCTAGGAGGGCACGGAGGAACCTTCCACTCTCCGTGCTCCCTGGAAGCTCCCACCCACTCACCCGCGTTGCCTTCAAGCCCGCTGGGGGCAGCCGGAGGGAGCCAAAGCCACTCCGTCCGGATAGGCAGCGGGGCAACAGCAGAAAAGCATGCCGTTGCTCAGGAGAGTCTGAGGAAGACGGGCCCATCCTGCCTTCAGGAGGCCGAGGGCTCTGACACGGAGACCCCTCAGTCACTTCAGTGGGGAACAGACCTGGAAACCAGCTATGACTTGGCATTGCTCCGTGTGCTCTGGGTCTGGGATTTGAGAGGCCTGAAAGGAACCCCCGTCCTGTCCCTCGGCCCCAGGTGTGTCTGGGAATCCTGACACTGGGCTTCTCCATATTAAGTGGGCATCTCCCGGTCTTTTCTCTCTGCTCATGGTTCTGATATTCTGTGGGGTGAGAATGTCCAGCCCAAACCTTCAGGTTGTTGCCTAAGAATGTGGAGCCAGCATGCCTCTGCGCTTGGAGCCTGGGGTCTGGCTGAGGTGTCCCCCACTCCCAACCTTCCCAGTGGGAGAAGCTGAAGAAGGTGATGCGGTCAGTTGCCTCGGAGGGAAGACAGAGACACAGAGGCCACATACTTTCTCTCTTCCTTCTCTTACTGAGAAGGATCTGCAATCAGGGATATTCAGCAAAGCTCAGGGTCCCATATTCATGCTGGGCTAACTCCCACCTGGGTGCGAAGAGACGGCCCTGAGAAGGGGTTCGAAAACCTCCCCACCCGGCAATCTCCCTTCTGGGTAGATACCCAACACAATGGAGAGCAGGGACTCAGAGACATTTGTACTCTAATGTTCATGGCCGCACCATTCACAGCAGCAAAGGGCGGAAACAACCCAAATGTTCATGTATGGCTGTGAATCAACAGAAAGTGCTCTCGCCCTACAGTGGGGGTATTATTCAGCCTTCAAAAGGAAGGAAATTCTGACCCGTGCTACAACATGGATGAACTGGGAAACACTAGGCTAAGCGAAAGAAGCCAGACACAGAAAAGCAAACACAATTACAACTTGGGATGACGAAAACATTCTTGAGATGCGCGGTGGACATGATTGCACAACACTGTGAATGTCCTGAGCGCCACTGAGCTGCACGCCTCAAAATGAGTACAGTGATAAATTTTATGTCATAGTAGATATTTTGTATATTGTGCCTTTGCCACAATTCAAAAAGCAACGCGCAAAAAGGCAAGACAGACCGTGAGCCCCCGCCGGTCTCGGGTGCAGAGCCGGGTCTTCGGCGCTCCCACCCGCACCGGGCACGGCTCTAACCCCAGCTCCCTGTGCTTTGTCTCGGTGCTTCTAGGCCTGGCGGAGGACCCACGGAGCCCGCGGACCCTGAGGCTGCTCCTGGTGGGCAAAACGGGCAGCGGGAAAAGCGCCACCGGAAACAGCATCCTGGGCCGGAGAGAGTTCGAGTCTAAACTCAGCGCTCAACCGGTGACCCTGACCCTCCAGCGGGGCAGCCGCGCCTGGGCCGGGCGGGAGCTCGAGGTGATCGACACCCCCGACATCCTGTCCCCGCGGGCCGGGCCGGAGGCGGCGGCAAGGGCCATCTGCGAGGCGGTGGCCTTCTCGGCGCCCGGGCCGCACGCCGTGCTCCTGGTGACGCAGCTGGGCCGCTTCACCGACGAGGACCGGCAGGCCGTGCGGCGCCTGCAGGAGGCCTTCGGGGTGGCCGTCCTGGCGCACACGGTGCTGGTGTTCACGCGCAAGGAGGACCTGGAGGGCGGCTCGCTGGAGGAGTACGTGCGGGCCAGCGACAACCAGCACCTGGCCCGGCTGGACGCGCTGTGCGCGCGGCGCCACTGCGCCTTCGACAACGCGGCGGCCGGCGGCCGGCAGGAGGCGCAGCTGCGGGAGCTGCTGCAGATGGTGGACGGCGTCCTGTGGGAGAACGAGGGCCGCCCCTACAGCTACCCGGCCTGCCGGGACTCCCAGCAGCGCGGCCTGCTGCGGGCCGCGCGGGAGACGCCGAGCAGCCGCGGGCAGGGCTCCGACGGGGCGCCCCTCCGGGAGCCCCTGCTGGAGGGACTGTGCCGGTTCCAGAAGGAATTCGAGAAGGCGCACAGACATCTGCTGAAGAGCGCGCCCATCTGAGCTTCCGCTGGACCGCGGCCCCTGGAGCCCGCTGCCAGCCCGTCCCCTGCTCTCTCCATCCCCGGGGCTCACTGGCCATCCCAGGCTCCTGGGGGGTGTCCGGTGCGCCGAGAGGCGGGTGCGTTCCCCAGTTCCCCGCTCGCACCCCGGGGCCCTCATCAGCCCTTCCAGGGAGCCCGCAAAGGAAGCAGTTGGATGACTTAAACGCGGCCGGGAGTAGCCTGCCTGCTGGGGGGGGGGGGGAACCGCTGCAACACGGGGGTGTCCTTTTGGAGGGCTGCTCCTACGCTCCTACAGACAGGGTCCCTCAGAAGCCACCTGCGATTGGGGAAGAGGGCAGGATGGGGGTCTGGCTCTGGCCACCTGACTGCATAAGGACATGAGGCGCCTCAGGGGCCCCTCAGCTTCTTTGAGGTTCTAGGGGCTTCTGGGGAGTCTGACCAACTGATGGAAACAGAATAGGAGCAGACCGGGGCAAAATGCCTCCCAGTATGCTCCTCTTTTCCTTTCTTGGAGCTGTGTGACCGAGGGCCTCCAGCTACCTTCTTCTGGGAGAGGTGGGAACTGGAGGTGGGGGAGACAGTGCTGGAGGACAATCAGAAAGCAGAGGACACGGCCTCAGGTCTGTCTGGACACTTGTCCTCTGGTTGGAGATTCTCTACCATCAGAGGTCCATGGACTACAGTCTCCCAGTGTGGAGGCCATGACGCCCATCTTCCCCAGACTCAATGGACTCCTAAGAAAGCTGGAGCATTTCTTTTGCTGGGAGATTCAGAAAAGTGTCTCAAGGCACCACACAGACTTATTTTGAGTGTATACTTAAGATAGTCCTTGTGGGGGTGCCTGGGGGGCTCAGAGGGTTAAGCGGCTGCCTTCAGCTCAGGTCACGATGCCGGGGTCCTGGGATTGAGCCTCTGCTCAGCAGGGAGTCTGCTTCTCCCTCTCTCTCCCTTCACTCGTGCTCTCTCGCTATTTATCTCTCCTTATCGCTGTCTCTCTCTCTCTCTCAAATAAATAAAAATCCCTCTCTCAAAAAAAAAGAGAGTCCTTGTGCCAGAGCCATTTATTAAATATGCCCATTTCCCACTGAACTGAAACACAACATTCATCGTGTAAGAAATGTTCATATTCCCAAAGATCTATGTCAGGATTTTCAATTCTGTTTTGGTCTTTGACTTTTTTCCTTGGTTATGAATAAAATATTGATTTGATTACAGAGGCTTGGAGTGTAGTATGGCACACCCGATTTCCTCCTCAGTCTACATGTTTATAGTTCCTTTGTTATTCTCAGGCATTTATTCTTCTGTGTGAGAGTTAAAATCACTTGTTTCATTATCAGAAAAGAACCAATGGGCATTCCAGTTGGAATTGTCTTCCATTAGGTTTGGGACAACTGGTAAACACGCCAAGGGTAAATGGATCCAGGCCATCGTACCTCTAAGTGAGTAGACTCCCAACTTCAGAGCTATGGAGTTAAAGCTAAAATCATTTGCATTTCCATTAGAAGATTAATTTCTTTAATTTGAGTGATCTTATTTTAACTGTTAGCTTCGTTAAATTTCATAACAGAAAATATAAGCATTGACCAAATGATAGCCTTTCAGTGACTCTGAATGGCAAGTCACTCAAAACGTGTCAGTCATTAAAAACCCTAAAGGAATTGGTTTTAATTGCATCAAATGCAGTGGGTTTGTTTGTTTGTTTGTTTGTTTGTTTGTTTGTTTTTCTCCTTTATGATTAAAGATCAGGGGAGAAAACTCCCACCACATTTCAGGGGGAGGGATAGATCTTGCACCGCCATCACTCCCTGGGCCTCACAGAATGCAGAAGGCATGCGTGGGTATGTTCTAGAAACGCCAGTCTCTGTACCAGTAAGAAAGATGTGATGTGGGTGGAGGTGGGGGTGGGCCGAGGACGGAGGGTTGTCTGGCCAAGGCTATGAAAAGAGCCAACTTTAGAATTTGTGCCTTTCTAGAAATGTCTCTACACTGGAGCAAAGCATGAAAGATGGGGATTTGGGCAACTAGAAGGGGTCAGTGCCTACAAGGTTGTTTCCTCCCTGGTGGGTCAGAACAGCTGTTTGAAGTCTCAGGGGAGTTTCCAGCTCCCAGTGCTCCTGTAATAACACTTGATAAACTATGCAGAAAATACAAAATAATACTAATTTTACAACAATTGTTCAAAGGCCCAGGGAAGTGACCAAATGCGGGCAGACGCTATAAGGAACTGTCATCCCCAAAGGGTCCAGGAGAAATTTTTTCTGGAAGCCTGAAAGAGATGTCACAGATGTCTGTGCCCATGGCAGCAAAGACAGAATCTGAGGTTCTAGTTCATCAGACATTCCACTGAAATACTGAACGGGTCCTATTTTAGGTGTAAAAACCGTATCAGGACAAATGGATTTGCCCTAAAAGAAGAACAAGGTTGAAGTAATCCCTTGCTAGTGATGTCTAAAATCAAGCCTTCCCAAAGTCAAAGTGATCTGACAGTAATTTAAGTGCCTGCTAAAACAAACTCAATATTCTTCAGAAGGTAGTAATATCCTGAGTCTCTACAGCATATTATCCACAATAACCTATAGATTGTTAAAATTCTTCTTTTCTAACGTAAGGATACAAATCTATGAAATTTTCCTCTCGGGGCTCCTGGCTGGCTCGTTCAGTTAAGTGGCCCACTCTTGATTAGGACTCGGGTCATGGTCTCAGGCTCTTGGGTTTGGTGGGGAGTCTGCTTGAGATTCTTTCTCGCCCTCGCCCTCTGCCCTTCCCCCTCCTCTCTAAAATAAATAAATACATCTTTATCTTAAAAAAAAAAGAAACTTTCCTCTACACACGCATATCTATGTCTCACAAACTTTTGTATATTCTGTTTCCACTATCATTCAGTTTAGAATATTTTCTATATTCTTTGTGATGTCTTTTTTCATTCATGGATTATTTAGAAGTATGTATTTGATTTCCAAATATTTGAGTATTTTCTAGAAACTGTAGTATTCAATATGGCAGCCACTAGCCACATGGGGCTACTGAGCACTTGAAATGTAGCTGGTACACCTGAGAAGAAGTGTAACATTTTACATAATTATAATTAGTTTTAACTGAAATTTAAAAACAGAAGCAGTGTAAACGATTTCACCAGGAAACACAGCTTTGTTGTTGAGGTAGAAGTAAATTTCCCTCCAACTGTTCTATCACATGTTATTGCTATTATGCAATGCAAACGTTGGCCATGTGCACTGTTTCTAGTGTTACACACAAACCCATCGTTGAGCTAGTCATGTCAATAGATCGATTCGGTTCAAATAATCCTTTTCCACTGATGCGGTACTTTTGTTTGACTACCTGATATAGACAGGACGAGTCACAGTAACGCCTATCTACATTGTACTTGGCAATTCAACTTAAAGACTGATTATTATTTTATTCATAATATACTTAAATTGATTTTTAGTTTAAAAATAAATATGGACAGATGTTTAACTTTAAAATGAAGGCAGGGGCACCTGGATGGCTCAAGTCGTGGTCTCAGGGTCCTGGGGTAGAGCTGAGCATGGAGTCGGCTTGGGAGTCTCTCCGTCTTCCTCTGCCCCTGCCCCTGCTGGTGCCCTCGCTCTAAATAAATCAAATATTTTACAAAATGAATGCATAACACCGATGCAGAACAAATGGAGATGACCAGGCAAGCCCTATGACAGAAACGGAGAGAGAGAAAGAGACTAGAAGAAGATATGTTACAAAATTCTTGACCAGTAGCCATTGCAATTTCCTGCAGTCCAGCAAAGCCAGAGAAAAAGTGGTTGGAGACATTTTCAGCATACACATAGGAATTCTGATAAAATGTTTCCTCTCAACAATCAAAAACAAAGTTGATAAAACTGGTAACTGGAGCCAGAATTAAATGTCCAACAAAACAATTCTAAACAATTTTTAGCAGGGTCTGAGCTTGTAACTTGGGCCACTTAAAAGCAGCTTGGATTGGGCGCCTG